TCTTTAGTATTGTTAGTTGTTTTTACATGATGTAACTATTTTATACAAGAACTGCAGTGTCAAATGTACTTTTTAGCGATAGCTTTTAAACATTCCTCTTCTTTGCAATATATATATATATATATATATATATATTGTAATAATAAAATTCCATAGTCAAGAATACACTTAAAATTCTAACTGTATGTTCTTTTCATTTTTAATGGCGACGGTCTCTTATTTGAAAGTACGTGGAATTAAATCCACAGCCCCGTAGTCAAGTTGTTTTTCCCGCCTTTTGTACACGTACAGTTATAGAATGTTCTGGAAATATTTAAAGCGAACTGGATTGGCTGACGAGGCTGACGTCATTTCTTGGAAGCTCCGCCTTTCCAGAGGCTATAAAAGGACTCGCAAAGGAATATCGGGGGCTTTTCTTAAATGTCACGATGCAGTAAACTTCATACAAAAAGTTATTAGTAATTCTTTTTTATTTACTCCGGAGATCAGATTTCTGTAATTGCTATTTCCCCTGAAATATAATAAATGGATCCTGTTTTTTAAACTTACCGTCTGATAATTTAAGCTACGACTACATCTATGATTCTTCACCAATCTATTTATTCCGGACAGAAGCTGGTACATCACACACACATATATATATATATTTATATATATACTTATATAGTTTGATGCGGCCGATTGCAACAAAAATTACTGTAAATTATTGAGTACTGCATACCGCAAATACTGGCTGTGCTAGTCGTTGACGTTTGGGTATTAGAGATTGGACAAATTTAACTGTTAGAATTAACAGATTACAAATTTATTGTCTTAATTTATTGGCTTTTTACAAAACTTTAAACGATATTAAAATGTTTATGCCTTCAAAATAAAAAATTCTTAGAACTAACATTTGTTAACATTTTTTATTTTTGTATATTGTATGTTGTCGCCAATAAAGTCTGCTTGGCGAGATTTGCGCCGGCGAAATGGAAAAGTACCAAAAACAAATTATGAGTTCGAATGCAAAATTCGAATTATTATGTGAAAATTTATATTTTTTTAATTACAAATGCATTGATTTTCAGATTTTATTTAATTAGTAGTGCAGGTTTTATTTAACCAACTGTGCAGCATTTTTGTAGACTATTATGGAGGTTTTTCATACTTTTTTGTACCATGAAAATTTATATTTTTAAAATTACAAATGCATTAATTTTCACATTTTATTTAACTAGCAGTGCAGGTTTTATTTAACGAACTGTGCAGCATTTTTGTAGACTATTATGGAGGTTTTTCATACTTTTTTGTACCATGTGGATTAGTATAGGTTTAATTGCGTTCTATACTGTTGCTCTGAGTTCATCATTATTCTCAAATTCTTTTATGCACGCTTGAGGCAGCCTAAAGAAATTCAGTCGTAGCTGGACAAGTCCAAAGAGCATTCAGATCATTGATTATTTCCTTCTTCTAGACATCATAAACCTGAAAATATTTCCTTAAGCTTAGAAACCTATCTTAGACAGTATACAATGCTGTCGGGAACAACTGAAAAATAGGTTCTCAATAAATAAGAAGCCGAAGGAAATAATGATACTTTTAAAAATAACAAATGGCGTTGTATAAACCATCGTTTCGTAGAATAGATAAATATTTGAGATGCTGTTAGTGTGGTTGGTTTCAATCTAAGTTTTATCAGATAAGGCGCAGACTTTTATGAAAGCAATCTCAACGATATGGATGTTAAGGTTTCGTAAAAATAAGATTTGACTTTTATGTATTCCCTGTAAAATACAAATTCCGATTGATAAAATATCCACAATTTTACTCTAATTCGTCGATGTACAAGCTTCATATCTCCAGCTGCTAAATTTCTGGATATAGTCGAGAACGAATTGAATGACTTAGGTTCCATGCTTACTATTGCTTTAAATTCAAACGAAAACAAATTTAGAATTCTTCAACGACATTTAAATGCACACTCACACACAAAAGACATTTCTTATTTTGGGAGACAAGTGATTAATCTATCGGTAAAATAAGATTAGTGTTTAAATTTGCAGCTGGTCTTTTCTTTTTAATATCTCCCTCATTTTTACTTCCTTGTACGAAGTAAAAAGTATTGTAATCGCGAAAATTTTCAGGCACCATATTTCAACAAAAATATCCATTTTGACCGCTTTCGAATGCAATTTAACAATGTTTTTGCGTAATATTTGTACGTAAGGACAAAATAAAAGACTCTTTTCCTCCAAAAAAATTATGAAACTGTTTTAAAATGAATTCTGAAGAGAATTTTTCGTGGCGAACGTACGACGTATGTACGTACGTACGTATCTCGCATAACTCAAAAACGTGCAGCCTCAGAACGTTGACATTTTGCATATAGGACTACTATATCATGTAGATGTGCACCTCGTATTTTGGTTGCAATCGGCCGCACCAAACGTATATAAATATATTTATATATATATCCACTCTGTTACCCGGCTCAGTGATCTCAGTTTCTTTACTCTTATATGTTTGTAAATTGTACATTTTTTTCTTTAAAAACGATTTAATTATGTTCTTCTTAACTTCCGGTGAAGGTTTTCATGCCTTTACTAAATCTGTATGCAATATTTTTAGAATTGTCAACAATTTTATAGTTGTTTAAGTGCAGCTAAGCCTTTTTTTATGGCGGGCATTGCTTGTTTACATTTTGAAACAGCAGAGCAGTGGATTTGTTGCCAATCTAGAGAAACCTAGCTTCGCAACAACAAAGATAACACCTCTATTTATTATTGCGAATTAAATCATGCTTAATCCTTTCTGGAATTTTTTTCGAGGAAATAAGTGTCTAAGATTTACTTCGTAATTTTTACTACAGATATTTCGAGTTTTTATGTATTTTTGCCTTGTCGCGAAGTGAGAACTGAATTAATTGAATGAGAAATACTCAATCGTCTGTGAGAAACTTTCTTTTTTGTTTTGTTTGCTTAATTTCTTTTATACATCGTTCTAGCTTTATTATAGTATTTGAATAGAACATGTGGCAACGATTAGATAATTCTTTAAATGATATAAATTTTGTGCATTCTGAGTTATAATATGAACGAAATATAATACTGTTAAGTGACCTAGCGCGAGAGTGTCGCTATGGTAAACAAATAGAGTGAATTTTAAAGAATGCATTTATTCTATTGCGGTTTATGCGCTATCGGCGAAGTAGATTTAATTCAGTCCAATAAGTTTAAACGAAATGGAAGAAAAAACGCGTATAATTTAATATTCCGTTTAAGGAAGTCATGTGGTGTACACATCAGATTTTTTAATTTCTGTATGCGTGTGGGAAAATATTATTCAGTATATCTTTTTAATTTTGCATTTAAAGTTATGGAGCTTTGTCTTTTTAACTCAATATTTTAGTGACCGTAAATTTTACTCTCCCATGACTACTTAAGAACTATGAATTTATTTTTATAGAAACATCTGGCCTATTTGGGTTGAAATGTGGTCCATATTATAAAACCTGATTAGAAATTTTTGAGTGAGATCAGTATATAAAGGAACAGAGCCTTTAATTATCTTTTATGAACATTTTATGTATATTAAAGTAGGCGAGTGTTTTAACTGCCTGCTCATAAATGTTTTAACTGAAGAAAAAAATCTGATGTGTCCACCACATGACTTCCTTGTACAGAATATTAAATTATACGCATTTTTCTTGCATTTCATTTAAACTTATTGGATTGAATTAAATCTACTTCGAAGACAACGCAGAAACCACAATAGAATAAATGCATTCTTTAAAATTCACTCTATTTGTTTACCATAGCAACACTCTGGCGCTAGGTTCACTTAACAGTATTTCGTTCGTATTATAACTCAGAATGCACAAAATTTATATCATTTAAAGAATTATCTAATCATTGCCACATGTTCTATTCAAATACTATAATAAAGCTAGAACGATGTATAAAAAAAGTTAAGCAAACAAAACAAGAAAAGAAACAGTTTTTCGCAGACGATTGAGTATTTCTCATTCCATTAATTCAGTTCTCACTTCGCGACAAGGCAAAAATACATAAGAACTCAAAATATCTGTAATAAAAATTGCGAAGTAAATCTTAAACACTTATTTCCTCGAAAAAATTCCAGAAAGGGTTAAGCATGATTTAATTCGCAATAATAAATGAAGGTGTTATCTTTGTTGTTGCGAAGCTAAGTTTCTCTAGATTGGCAACGAATTCACTATCCTGCTGTTTCAAATGTAAACAAGCAATGACCGCCATAAAAAAAAATATTAGGCTTAGCGGCACTTAAAGAACTTTAAAATTGTTGATAATTCTAAAATTATTGCATACAGATTTACTAAAGGCATAAAAACCTTAACCGGAAGATAAGAGCAACATAATTCAATCATTTTTAAAGGAAAATATGTACCATTTACAAACATATAAGAGCAAAGAAACTGAGATCACTGAGCCGGGTAACAGAGTGGATATATATATAAATATATTTATATACGTTTGGTGTTGTCGATTGCAACCGAAATACGAGGTGCACATCTACATGTTATAGCAGTCCTATATACAAAATTTCAACGTTCTAAGGCTACTCGTTTTTGAGTTATGCGAGATACGTACGTACGTACAGACATACGTTCGTACAGACGCCACGAAAAATTCTCTTCGGAATTCATTTTAAAGTAGTTTTATAATTTTTTTTGGAGGAAAAGAGTATTTTATTCTCTCCTTAGGAACAGATATCACGCAAAAACATGATTATATTGCATTCGATAGCAGTCGAAATGGATATTTTCGTTGAAATATGCTGCCTGAAACTTTTCGCGATTACAATACTTCCTTTTTACTTCGTACAAGGAAGTAAAAAGGAATTTTTGTAATTAAATCTCGTAATTTTTAAAAGAAAGGAATGATTCTGATTAGTTCATCATTCGCATATGTTTATGTCTCATTCTGCTTGTGGTTTTAATAATTTGCCGGTGTATTTAGTTATGTAAGCCTGTCTCTAAAATGTTTCAAATTCTACAAAATTATGCCTTTTATTATCTTTGCAGTTCTACTGAATATCTTCTTGAAGAAACAACGACTTATAGCCTATGGACTGCCTTTTGCGGATTGGGTTTTCTCGTTACCAAATATGTCATGGTAAGCTGTTTCAGTATAGCAGCTGCAAATCAGATATTCAGGATACGTTGTATGTTCATGGAATCTATTCTCAAGCAAGATATTGGATGGTTTGATACAAACAAAACTGGAGACTTCGCGAGTCGTATATCGGGGTAAATATGAATTGTTTTTACTTACTTTTTCTAACCTTTTAACCTACGATTTAGATTCGAAGATGTTGGGCCGAAATTGCATACAAACTCGCGCACGACTTTGCACGACTTGTGTAACATGCTAATTTGGGCAATCGTAAACATGACGAATTATGTAATTTTCAAAGAAAGTATAGGCGAATAATTATGGATACGATGACTATCCACTACCAGAGTCCTGGCTTTGGAAAGAAAGGAGAAATAGTCCAAAAATCTGGGACTATACGATGACTCCTGGCATAAGAGAGGAAGCCTTATGTCAATTAGCAGGAAGTAGAGGAGAATTTGATATATTTATTCTAGTATTTGATGACATATTTTGGAACAATATTGTAATCGAAACGAATCAGTATGCAGATCAAGTACGAGAAAATCCACATAGAACACGAGTGTAAAAAAAGTGAAGTTCCGTTACATGTACCGGAATGCTTTGAAATATATCATACCGTTACAGATTACTAATTTTGTATTTTGAAGTTTTGTATAAATAAACATTTTGTAATACTTGCGTCTACCACAATTAATACATCAGACTGTAATTGCGTATCAAATATTCCCCGTAATATTCACTTCTGGCCCGATCACCGTACGCGGGCTATGCCCGTGAAAGTTAGGTTTGGCCCGACCCTCGTACGCGGGCTATGCCCGTCATTGTAGATTAAGGGGTTAATAACAGCAAAGTTCAAATTACATAACAGAAAAATTTCTGCATTTTAATATATTTAATTAAGAGAAACATAGTTTGGATGAAAATTTATTAAAAAATAGATGTATGTTAATCGTCGAATAAAGACTGCTGTTTATTTTGTCATTTTAGTAAGTATGCGAAAATATTTCGAAACCACGATAATTTTTTATTGATGTAGAGTATATTATTAAATGTTTGTGAATAAGACCGCGCTTAGCAGAATGTGGCACTTGTCTCGTATAAACACCTCGGGATCCTTCAAATTATCCGCGTAAGGTAAGAAGTTTAACTTGAAATATATTATTACATCATACCCACAAAAAAGCAGACAGAAATCTCATAATCTTTCTACATCTGGCTAAAACTTGATATGTCAAAGTACAGCGGTCAGCACAGGCCGTTTCTATGTTAAGATATGGAATTGGCGAAACGGTATGTGCTGTCTTTAGACAACTTTCACTTCTGGTTGATCGCTTGTAAATGAAATCTAATTTGTTTATAAACTGTATGACTCAATGTTAATAAAACCTCTTCAATTTTATTATTCTATTCTCCCATACAGTAGACAATGGTAACTAAAAGCGCTCACGTTCACGCCTATTATGATGTTTTGATATGAAAATATCGCATTGACCGTGGTATATCTTCTGTTCTAACAGTATTTCGGTTCACAAATAACAAAAACAAAAAAAAAAAAAAAAAAAAAACACTTACCCACAAAATGTTTAAAGTCAGCATTCTTTAAAATTCCCAATACAGTATTAAATGTTGCCATATAATTTTTTAATATTCGCTATATTATTTGTATGTGACTTATCATTTCTTTGAAATATAATACAGAGCGATAGCATTTGGTGGCAGCATCCTTTTATTTGAAAAGTGATTCGACACTAAAGGGAAACACACACAAAATTGATAAGTTCTCCCCTAATGGTAATACATTTAATTGCTTCATGGCGAGAGCTTGACTCACGATGAGCTTCATCTCGGTGCATTCCAAGAGTATATTTAATGTTTATAAACGTAATATGCTATTAGCAGTCACATACCTATTTTAAATACCAAATTTTGGACTATCTCATGATATTAAGACACAATTTCACGCCGAATAAATACTAATTCAGAAGCCAAAACGACAAAAATCAGCGTTATATTTTCAAAATTTTCACAGTTGAAATGATTTGTGAAAATTTGATCGCAGTTTTTATTTTTGACAGGTCCGAAGGTGAAAGATCTTTAGGGATCGGATTATATGGTCCTTCGTTTAAGAGTTTAGTGACACCATCGATGTAAGTTTTCTTATCCATGACGACTGTCTGGCCACCTTTGTGGGACTTGAAATGATAATATCCGGGTTAGAATGAATTTCGCGCATTGTAGCTCTTTCTCTCGCAGTTAAGATTGGTTTCAAAGGTTATTATTGAATTTCACATTATGAATGATAAATGCCTAATCATTTCTTTCTGGAATCTGAAACTTTACTGAACTTGAAAGCTTTTTCGATAGGAGCCAAATCTTTAAAATCGAGGGTTTACAGGTTTGTGAGAATTAAAATTATATTTAGAATTCATTGTTCTTCTGAAAGACTAACATTAGAAATATTAACTATTGGCTTGATGTTTACAATGGGAAAATTTTTTGAACTACTTGAACTGGAAGACTGTAAAAGAACTTTTTCGAATTTACATCAAGGGTGTTTTTATGACGGTTAACTGCATTCTCCGTTCTAGACCAAGACTTTTGTTCAATGGCAGTGAATTTTGGATATGAAATTAGCGAGTTCCAGATGAAGCTTATAGAGTTCATGTTCAATTTTGGACAATTGTTGACGTGTATCCCTTATGATGGACCGAAGTAAGGCAAGCTTGCAATTTAACAGAATTCTTGAAACGCGACTGGAAGGTTTTTGATTAGACTTGATTTGAATAAAATTGGGGAGAAATTTTTTAAATTTACATTTAAGTAAAAAGTCAAGATGATTCAGGAATTTTTGCCGTTTCAGGCGTAATTTAGTGAAACGATTAACGGATGAAGGCATGATAAACAATGCAGAAAATCAAATTAAATTAACTAAGCAATAATAAAGTACACACAAAACAGCAGAAAAATCTTTCACTGAAACGAATAGAAAACAAAACGTTTGTAACCAAAATGCATGAAATCAGACAAGCAAAGCGCAAAATCCAATCCTGTGAAAATTTTGAAATTGTAACGCTGATTTTTGTTGTTTGACTTCTGAATTAGTATCTCATGATATATTTTCAGTCATATACCTATTTTACCAACTTAGCAACAGTTTTCTAAAAGAGTGTGTTTGCCTAATCTGATCAAAGCGCGCTTTCGAAGTGATGTTACTTTCTCTGTAATTTGCAGCCAGTCAGAGAGAAGTATTCGATGACACATGTTTCAAATCTTAAAAATGAATTGCCACTCGTAATTCTTCGGCTGAATTATCAACCCGTTCACATTTTCTATTATAAAGCAATTTGATTTTTATTGCATTTTAATAGTTTAATAATTTTTTGGCTGTGGCCAAAGCAAAATTTATAATTTATATGTACACCTGAAAAAAAAAAAATATAAAAACATTTCTGTACGAATGGATTTAGTTCAGTCTTTCCAAGCAACAACCAATTCGTAAACAATTTTTATGTTGCCAAACCAGGAAACAAAATCTTTTGACACTTTAGTTAACCTTTGTAATATAACAAATATTTTAAATTTAATGTAATATAGCAAATCTTTCTCAATGTCAATAAAAGAATTCACGGGGCAATAACATGTCGCGTCAATTATTCTAACCCGAAACAAAAAAAAAAGTTGCCGACAGCAGTTATTTATTTAAAATTCTGACATTAACGAAACATTTTTAATACAAAATGGCGTCACATGCAACCGCATGCTTTCGTCAACTTCAGAATATGACCTTGTATAATAATAATAAGTTTAATGTTTGGCAATGTCATTTTTATTTCATATGTTGTAAAACTTAAAAATTTTTTGTTAATTCTACTATTTGAAAGCGAGTTGTGGCAACACTTTGGTATGATTGATCGTTGCTGCTTCATTGCATAAGCGCACCTAGTTATTTGGTATGATTGATCGTTGCTGCTTCATTGCATAAGCGTGCCTAGTTAAGCTCTTCACTGCATTGTGACTCGTGCTGCGAGCGCTTGTAATGCGCATGCCATCTTTTGTCTATTTTTCCAGTGGGTGGGCTTGAATGTCCGGATCAGCAGTGCGACAGTTCGGCTTTGCCTGATCGTTAGCTATGCGGTCTCGGTATGCTTAATGGCAAACCGCACATTGAGTTGATCAGTGTTAACGAATTTCGCTTATTGCGCATGCTCAGTGGTGTACCGCTGGCGTCTAAGCATAAGCAATCCTACACAAGCCTGTTTGTCATGTAGGTTTTATCGACTGTTTACAATTGCAACAGTCTATTTCATTTACTTACAATAATTTATTTGACCTTTAATTCAGTAATTTAAACTAGATTTAATCCTTAATTTTTTAAAGTATAAATGAATGGAACGTATGGTAAATAATCAATTGTTTTTATTCCTCAGAAGTATAATCAGCTAATATCTTGTAATGTTTCCTGTTTTGTAATCCTTTTTAAAAGAAAATTTGTGTAGTTTACAATCAACATTTACACTCCAAGTAATGAAGCAGTTTACAACCTGACACGTTTTAAAACCTGGAACTGTTTTACGTACAAGATAACACAATATAAACCATATACCGTATTTATCTTCTTTTAAAATCGCGCCAAAGTCGTAACTGCGCCAAATTGTCTTTTGGGCATGCACAATAAGCGAAATTCGTTTAGCATTGATCAACTCAATGTGCGGTTTGCCATTACGCTCTCGGGGATGCGACCTGGTAGTGAGAATAATGGTAGTTGTAAATGGGAAGTTTTTATTGGGTGCTGCGCTCCATCTGTGAACTTGGGAGTCAAATCAAATGCTGATTAGAAATCGAAGATGTGACAGTAAAATCGAATGTGTAATTTGACTTTGGTTTGGAATCAATATCTGGCGTTAATTGGTAGCTGGGGTAACTGAAGGACACGATTGTCATCGTGATTAAGTCCATTCTGTGGACGTCATTTATGAGCCTTAAATGCTGATGTGATCGCTGCGGTGGTGGACTGCGATCGCAATGCGTAGACTAATATTGTTGATGCCAGTACTAGAAGGCCATGGTGTGTATGACTTCGTTCGTCGTTTCCTGTAAGTCTACGGAGATGAATGTCCCTTTCACTTCCGAA